GCTGAATAAGTTGAAAATGTATATCGAGCCATAAGATCAATACAAGTTTCAGTAAGTTCAACATGAAAAGTCATTAAAGCCTCATCAATTGGAGGCTTTAAATCTGAAGCTTTATTATCTCCTATCATACGATTTGTCATTATTGGTCTTTCTCTCCTGCCTCTACTGCCCTATAAATAAAAATTTAATAGTAATATAAAAAAAATACAATAGTAATATAAGATAATATAATTTTAATACTTTCTTTCATACCTGTTCTGTTAAACTCGAACTACGTTTTCTATTTGAGGAATCTTCATTTATAAAGTTAAAATCTGATTTCATTAAATGACCTTCTTCAAAAGGAACTATTACATTAGCTTTCAAACCCTATTTATTAGAAAAAGATAGTTTTATTATTAAAGTTTTATTATTAATAATATTATTATATTAGTAAAAAATTAATGATTCACATACTGTAGTAATAAATTTAACAAAATCTCTTCGAAATGGTAATCTGCATTTCAAAAACCATACAGCAATTACATGATGTGCCAAGGATACTGTATAATGATCATATTTAAAAGGATTTGTATATGGTAATAGAATTGCAAAAACCGACATGTATTGATCTCCAATAAAACTTGCAAAAACTTTTGGAAGTCTAGTAAGAGCTGTATAAAAAATATATACATACATACATACATACATATATATATATATATATATATATATATATATATCTATTTCATAATTAAATTGTTCTATAGATTTTATAAAACTTACTAGATAAAAATTCTAAAATTGGTATAGCTATATGTACTGTTGCTGAAATTTTTGATAAATTTAAAAGTACTTCGGATAAAAGTTTGTTCATCGCATCACGCATCTCTAAAATACAAGTTGTAAGGCTAGTAACACATTGACTTGCACACTTTGCTGTTAAACCAACCTAAATAAAACAAATTTAAAAAACTTTTTATTTATCAAATTATATAAATGTTATATCAGTATAATTTCTTTAAAAAATGAATTTTATTTTTACCTCTAAACATTTTATTAAACGCTGTTGTAAATTAGGTTCTAAATGTGCATGATATGAAGCTAATGACGCTAATACTGGAAAAACATGAACGCGAAACTCTGAAAGAGTAAATTTTGGAGGAACATTGTAAAGAGACTCTGGAAGTCTTAAACTTTTATCACTAACCTAAAATATTAAAACATATTAGAATAAAATATACTAAAATAAATTTTTTTAAAAATTAAAAAAAAAGAAACAAATTAAAATAATATACCATTGAGCAAAGTGCATTTGCAAAATAATCAATGTCGTTTGTATGTCGTGATAATATTAATGCTCTATTTTGCATCACTTGAGGCAATTCTTTTAATACCAACTGTAAAACTTTCCAATCTGCAAAAATATAATAAATAATATTAATTTGTAATTTTTATATATATAAAAATTACATTAATTTAAAATACATAATATAAACCTTTTTCCAATTTAATACAGGAAATAACAGCTTTACATGCAAGTGCCAATGACATGTAAGTAATTTGACAAGATAAATGTTGCAATGGAGTTGGATTGACTGGTGGAGGACTATTACCACCTCCTCCACTATTTATTCGTTCAATTGTTGTATGTTCTAAAACTAAATATGGACTAAACTTTATCACAGATAAGTTTTGAGTATCCGGAAATCCAAGATGATAAAGTGTATTTGCTCTAATTTTTAAGAAACATTCAAAAATCTAAAATGCAAAATAATTTTATGATAAAATAATATTATATTAAAATATAATTAATATACTATTAATACAAAAATATATTATGTAAAATTGAAATAATATATATCATTTTTATTTATTACCAAATATCGAATAGTAGGAATGTCATAGAAGACAGTTGGTTCTTTATAATGCTGTTCCAAATAATTCACTAAAACTTTATAAGCTCGTATAGCATGACTTGAAGGTAAATAATAAATTTTTGATATTAAGATTTTTATCACACCAACAACTGCAGTTTTTATATCTTTGATATCAACATCTTTTGTAACTGGTATATCAGATGTAAAAGGTTTATTGATTACCTTAACATATATAATTCATCTTAAAAATATTATACAATATATCATATAATATTATATGATTTCATCTTTCAAAGTGTTATATTAAAGATCGTATATTTTATGTATATATAAATAAACATATAAAATATCATGTACCTTCTCTAATATATCTAAAAGTTCTAAACATCTCTTTGTATCACATTCAAGACAAAGATCAATAAGTAAATGTGCAACACCATTCCGAATAGTGATATCAAAATCCATATCAACATGTTGAAAATATGGCACAATTATTCGTTCAATTAATTCTTCTTCATATCTAGATCTATTTAAAAAAAAAAAATGTCAATTAAAGTTATGTCAATTAAAGTATATAAGTTAATCTTCTATCAAAATTTATCTAATTTAAAAAATATATTAATTTAATGTACCTATTAATTTGGACAACATTTGTTAAAACATCAAGAACTTTCATTCTAATGTTGGTACGTGTTTCAATCTTATAATAACGTTCCATTAAATTTGCTAGTTTAAATTGCCAATGATAATGTGTAGGTCCAATAGAACGTGCTCGATATTCAATTAATTTCAAAACAGAACCTTCCTAGAAAAATTTAATTTTATATTTTTTTGTAAAAAAAATATTTAAATTTATATTTAAATTACAAATATGATAATTACAGGTCTTGCATCACTACAACGTTCAACGAGATCATAAAATCGTTGAATACAACCATTATAATGATTAATATCTAGTAAATTTTCAATACTATTTATTGTTTCATGTAAATTCACTGAAACTTGTCTAGTTGCAGGTTGGTTACTTGTTTCTAACAGAAAAATATAAATATTAATAAAAATCAAATATTTACATTAAAATTTATAAATTTTAATTTTACCTGTATGAGAAATAACTTCTTCAATAATATCAAGAATAATGCTCCATGTAGGATCCCATAACTCAGTTCCATATTTATTTACTAATCTTTGAATTGATAATATAACTTCATACATAACTACTGGATGATTACATTTTAAGGCCTTATGAAACAACAAAGCAATAAATAATACTTTTCAATTATATAAAATAATCAAATATTATTAGATTTTAATTATTTACTTGATAAAATGAAGGTAAAACAGATGTAGGAGTACATTCTAGTTTTGGAATTTTATGAGTTCCCCAAAGACCCATATTTACATAAAATACTGCTCCTCTAAGTAGGCGAACATCTCTCTGAAAATTTGTATCTTGTAGCAAACGACACATTGTATATAATGCAGAATGACCCATATGTGTACCTAGTAAGTTACGCATTATCTACAAAAAGTCATACTATTTTTAAAATTGAAATATATATTATAATTTTAATTTAAATGAATAATGTGCATAAGTATATTTGATTTAAACTTTTTAAAATTTTAATAATAATATACCTTCCAACTTATTTGACAATATGTTTCAACATTAACACTTCCACATAATGCTATGATAAAAGTTTGTAATGAATCAGACTGTAAATTACTGTAACAAACAATTGCATCTAAAGCTTCTAAACATCCAGAAACAACTTCACTACTATTACTATAATAACATAGATGGCAGATATACCTAAATATACAAAAGATAAAGTTTAACTTAATTAGTAATTTAATAATTAATTATAATATAGTCAATTCATAAAATATTTACTGAACAAGGCCTGATATAATGTCTTCATCAATGTACGCTGAATTAAACTTAATGACATTAACAAGAAGTGATAAGAATTCAGCTCCTCTTTTTCCATCTCCTGCTGTAACAATTGGCATCCAATCTAATAAGAAAGGTCCCATTCTTTCTTCTAGATGTAATATATCTTTTCCATTTTCTGTTAAGCTTTGTAAAAGTTCCAATCTATATAATAATTCATAACTTAATTAAAAAATATAATGCATAATTAATTAATAATAATATAATATAATATAATTAAAAAATATAATCATAATACCTAGGTCCAATATCTTCAGGAATATTATGTTCTTTAACAACCATAAAAAATTTTACTCTCATAAGAGAAGATAATTTAGAATATTGACCTTGAACAAGACATCGCAGAAAATTCAATGTTACATGTCTATGTTCACGAGGTATATCTTTTTCCAAAAGATCTTTTACTAAGTACCATAATCTTTCAGCAGCTTTCTAATAAAAAATAAAAATTAATAATATTATATATTTCATTATGAAATTTATTATTACAAATAATCTACCTACATCTTCCCATTGCTGATTAAGAACTGCATCACACAAATCTTTAATTGCTTTTGTTCGATGATGTACAGGACTTTCAGGACTAATTTCTTTTTCAAGATCATGTGTTAATGTAAAATCTTCACGACTTTTATAATTTCCTAAAAAAAAATTTATTATTAATTTATTTAAATAGATTATGAATTTATAATTTATCATTTAATTATAGTTATAATTTGTAAGTTTTGTATTTCATATAATTTATAAATAATCGTATTTAAAGATAATCGTATATAAAAATATATTAATAATACGATATAATTATAAATTATGAAAATCATATCTATAAAATCACCTTTATTAATACGAAAAAATTGTTTTAGTTTATCATGTAACGTTTTATTATCTTTATCTTTTGAGCTCATTTTCGACATTTTAGTTTATGAACTAAAAGCACTAGACAATATCCAGAAAGAATCGTATTAAGTAATAAGTAGGCATATCAAAACGAAATCTAAACAGAAAAATATCAGTGAAATACACCGTATAAAAAGAGATGGGATGCCAGAAAGTTAAACACCAATCAGCTGTAATTTGTAACCATAAAAAAGACACTAATAAAAATCATCAATAGTTTGCATACTATAGCTTGCTTTAGATATAAGACATGGTATTAAGCTTGGCAACACCGCTTTTACTAGTATGGAGTATGGAGTTTTATTTTAACATTGCAATAAATCAGAAAGTAAAGTCATTAAAATTTTTTTAAAGAAATTGATTTGAATATACATAATATTTTTAATAATCGTATATAAATAATGTGATAAGTATAATAATTATAAATAGAAATGATATGTAAATGCTAAAAATAATAAAAAAAAGTATACAAATTATGAATAAGTTTAAGGTTATAGTGAATAAATTTAAAATATTTATATTATACAAACATATTACATAGTATTTAATACTATGTAAATATATATAAATTTTACAAATGAAATTATATTTTTAAAAATGTTTAAACACAAGCTAATAAAAATAAAAATGAAATAAAAATTTTAATAATAAAGAAAAAAGATTTAAATGAATATATAAGTAAAAATGAGCAATAAAAACAATTCATATAAAAAATAATTGACAATATTTAGAGTCAATTATGAATTCTAAATTATTTAACTATTTATTATATTATTTTTAATTATTAATTTTATATTAAATATTTTATATACTTATTATAATTTTAATATATAAAAATAAAATTTAATGCTTATAATATATATTTTAGAAATTATTAAATTATTGGAAAAATTAAATTAATTATTGTAATTGAGATATGTTGATAATATTCAATCTGTAATTATTTTCTAATAATTATTTATAAATAAA